TGGATTCACAACATACTGTCTATGACATCTAAAACATCTATGCATGAAGGCACATTATTCATTGAAAATTAAGACTTTCTTATGTTTGAGAAAAAAATTACTAACGCTGTATATTCAAAACTGTATATCACGTGGTACTGATATCGGACACCAACTTGCTTGCTTATTTCTTATAGTAGTCCATCAATCAGAAGTGATTTCTTAAACTGAAGTTCCTCATTACCCATAACAGGAAAAACATTTCCCATTTTTTACTTATATGACGAACTGTGTTCCACACACTACTTGAGCAAACTTCAAGAAGCCGTTTTCTTCATTATTATTATTATTATTATATCCTTTAATTCCTAGAGGAACATACGGCTTCAGCTGCGCATCTCCATTGCCTTGTGTTTCCTGCCAACTTTTTCACTACGCTCCAGGTCTGTCCACATGCTTTCACCTCCTCCTCACATCACCTCCTCCAAGTCACCCCACACTGACGACCAACTCGCCACCCGCTTCCCTTTCGGGTTCTACTCGAGCAATGGCTTGTGTAGTGATGTCGCTTGACTGTTTCCTCAGAGTATGGCCAGCCAATCCATCTCCATTTCTTCCTGCCTACTTGTTTCGCAATCGGTTCCTGCTGGGTTGGTTCGCTCATTGCCAGAGATCTTTGTTGCTGATCTTTTCTGACCGGCCATCTGATCTTGAGTGGTATTGAGCGAAGACAACTCTTAATGAAAGTCTGTAGTTTGTTTGAGATGCTCTTTATGACGCGCAGTGCAAGTCTCTGATCCGTATAGTAGCACTGACTGGCTTCACATTGGAGTTGAAAATCCGGATCTTATTTTTGATGCTGAGTAATGTTGACTTCCACACAGACTTGAGAGTAATGAAAGCCTGTCTTGCTTTTCCGATTCTGGCTTTGATATCCTCGTCAGTTTCGTCCGCCTGTAGTTGAAACGATGCTTCCCAGGTAGGTGAAGGAGGCTGTTTCTTTCAGGTTCCTCCTATTTATGCTGGCTGACTGTCGTCTGTTGTTACTGTTGGTGTTGGCCAAGAATCTTCATCACCTGAAGTCCTATCCTCTTTGAATGCTTCTTCTGCCAAATTGTTGCTTTTCACTTGCATATCTTCCAGTTTGTGGGAAATCAGACATATATCATCGACGAAGTCCAAATCCTCGAAGTATTTTGTGTGAGTCCATTTTATGCCTGTCTCCTGATTGCCCTTGTCTGTCGCATTATCCAGTCTACTGCAATCAGGAAGATCATCGGCGATAATAGACAGCCTTGCCTCACTCCCGTCCTCACTTCGAGGAATTCCGTGAGTTTCCCGTTGTGGATTACTTGGCATGCAGCATTGTCGTGTAACTGTTGGATGAGATGTATAATTGTCGATGTCACCCCCTAGTAGCAAAGTAGTTGCCAAATCACCTCTCGATCGATGCTGTCGAAGGCTTTTTCACAGTCGATGAAGTTGAGGGAGGAGGAGAGGTGACTGACATTCCAAGCTTTGTTCAATGATGATCCATAGAGTGGCGATTTGATCAATACATGACTTGTTTCTCCTGAATCCGGCCTATTCCGATCGGAGTTTTGCATCCACGGCTTGTTTGATTCTCTCCAGGATGATGCGGCTAGGTATTTTGCTTGGGACTGACAGGAGCATAATTCCACGCCAGTTTTTGCATTGTTATTTTCTATAGTTTGGTTTACAAGAGTAAGCTATGTTTTTACGAGTTGATCACGGACTGATATCAGTTAGGGAACCATTGAAAACCAGGGACTACGGGACAACCACTGTTTCATCCTAGTTTGGGAATCATCGGCAGTACGCACCCACTGGAATACGAATTGGTAGAAGTTAGAATTCATGAGCCATTGAATCGGGTCCCAGTGACTGCATGGTATACGAGCTTTCCTTGTGACCGGAAGGTCCTGTGTTCGAATCCCAGTGGGTGCATACTGATGATGATTCCCAAACTAGGATGAAACAGCAGTTGTCCCGTACTCCCTGGTTTTCAATGGTTCTCTAACTGATATCAATCCATGATCAATTCGTAAAATACAGAAGTTTATTATCTCCTGACAGTTACATAAATATCTGGGTGTAAATGTTAGAGAAAAATGAACTCATTCAACTTTCTTTAAGTTAATCATTTGTGCAGTAATACAGAAGTGTGTATGTGGTGGCTTATTTCAAAAAATGAATTTCATGAAACTGCAACTGACCAATCACATCAGTAGTAAAATAAAACATCGCCATACCGTTTGCAGAATGCTGAAATTAGGTTAAGATTTTAAAATATGGAAAACATCATCAACTGTGTTGGAATGAAACGTTATAATCTTTCGAAAAGCTGAGTGATTCGATTTTAATTCCCCATTACTTTTTGTTTTTTTTATCTCTGTAACATTATTGCATGCAAAATGAAGACGAAGGATTTATTTAATGCATTGTAGTTTCACCTATAGATTTTGAATAATATTTTTAGTTTAGTGCAAAGTTTTGATGAATCCCTGAAAGCACCCAGTAACAATTAACTTCAGGTTAGTTACTGTCTTTGAGTAGAATAGGAAAACATTGACGCTGTTGAATCAATCACGTACCATTTGTTCCCTTAATTTGGTGTACTTCAGTAACCTAGTTCACTGTGACCACGAAATCATGTGATACAAAGAGGGGCTAATTGTTACTCGTTAAGCATCATCATGATGTTTTTATCGCGATTTATATATATATATATGAGTGGCAGATAGATTGCAATAACACTGGCTTTGTCTCCATTCATATAATCAACATGGGAAGTACATTCGTAATTATCAATTTTAATTCAGATTAGCCGTTTTGTAGTGAAGTAAAACATAACGATAGATATCTGTATTCATTATTATTATTATTATTATTTCTGTATTATTTCTGTATCTTGAATGTCTTGCTAAATTTACCTGATTTCCAATATTAGTTTTGCTGTCATTCACATCGAATTTTTTGAAATCTATCTTTCCTCAATGTACACCGTAGGTCCCTTATTATTATCTAGTGTCTCGTCTTCCTTAGAGGTTGTTACTGTGTAAAAGTTTATGAAATGGGGTTACTGCATTTGAATTCCTATTACCATATGACAGACACCTGAATTATCAGTTTTAAATTGTTCAAACACTTAATGCTTTCTGTAATTGTTTTAACTTTATTCAGCCAGTTTGAAGTTTAGAACAGTAGGCCTAAATAGAAAAGGAAATGAGGAAGTTGCGGAAAATAAATCTGATTATTTTGTGTTTATTGAGTAACTAACATATCCAATAATGAAGTGTATTTGAAACAGAACATGCTAACGCTGCATTACATCTTAGCCATAATTTGTTTGGGAATAATGCCATCAAGCTGATGCGATATGGCAGCGATCTTCAACCCAGACTCGGTTCATTGAATTGGTAACTAAAAAAATTACATTACCGGATTTATATACATATATAAATACTTCTATCTTACTAATGGCCCAGGAAAGCTTCTAGTGTTAAGCATAAATGTCTTTATGATATCTTTGAATTAGACAATATGAAAATTACCGTGAAGTTCATTTTCAACACCATGTTATTCTGACTGACAACCCAAAGTGTATCCATCTGTAGATTCCGTTCTCAAGAGGGGAAATATTTAACTCATTACACATGAATTCATTTATCACATATATATATATACATATGTATAATGATTTCCTTCCTGATGATCTAGCACAATGTATCTGTACCTTTACTTTTCTGATTTGTGTTCAACATTTCAACGCTATACTAAAAGCATTCCGGTTGATTAAATTTAAATAACATGTTTTTATTTCAAGCAATACGCTTATATTTCAATAGTCCATGTTGTTTTAGTTTTTGCCCAACACACATTTTATTGTTGAATTATACACTCTCATTACGCTACATGTACAACTGCGATACATATATGTATATATTTTATTCTTAATTAATGTAAAACCAATAAAGTGTCAATACCTCCAAACGGCAACTTTCCAGAATCCCGAAATTCCCATTATCAAGCTGATAGTGTCGCCCAAGAGAAACTGACCGCCTTAAGTAAAACAGATAAAGATTTCTTTGGTATGAGCAATATGTACGGTCAAACTATTCTAGCTGACCTGTCATTATGCATTTATATATGCACATACATTTAACACAAAATTAGTTGTTGTCAAATAAACAAAAACTGTGTTGAATCATGAAAATATAACTTTCTTCTACAGAACCACTTAGCATACTCTTTTCACTCACAATTGCCTCTCTCCCTCTCTTTCTGAATTCTATATTTCATTAACGCTTCGATGAAGAGAACCTTAGGCCTTGTAACACACAGAAAGTTTTAAAATATTGAAGGAAAAACGTTATGAACATGTAGTTCGCCGAAAACATTTGTCATACCCCATCCAGACCCGTAAAAGTACAAAGTTTAAATTATGCTTGAAAACCGGTTAGGTATAAAGATGTGAAGTTTTTAGGTGAATATCAGAACAATATGTTGACTGTTAAGCAGTTCGAAGGTTAGGAGGATCCTTTTATCATTGAGAACCACCAAGCAAGCAAAACTCACGAGTTGCTGAAGAGTTGGTTTCCTCCTACTTTCTAAGTCAAAAACCCTAACATGTCTATAGTTCATAAACTTAGCAATTTAAAAAGCATTCAGAAAGAAAAACACCAGTCGGTAGTTCTCACCTTTTCTCTATCTACCAACAGTATTCGTTCCAGACTCAAGTAGACGTTTTGTGAATATTACACTCAGGCTGAAGTTGCAAGTTATTACCATAAAAATTCAGACAGTAATGAAAACATCAAAATATTTTAGACATGATTACTAGATAACATTAGGTGCCAGTTGAAAGTGCGTAAGAAAACAGATTTTATTACAAAAGAATCTGAAGCGCATATGAACACACAGATTTAATTTTCCATGACCAATTTGTGTACCATGGCAAATACCCTTTCGATATTTCTTTCTCCTATATCATTTTCTAGAAAGAATATCTGATGCTGGTTGAAAAATGTATGAATTTCGCTTGTGAAATGATGGATTTATGCAGAGGTACACAAGAGGTTGAAGCGGTTATATCAGACTTCCTAGAAGACGGAACAAATATTCGTGATCCACTGGGTCGTCTTCGGCTTGCAATACGTTTTGAAGAGAAAAAGGTAAACTCATTTTCTTACTTAAAATCTGTTTACTACAATAATCTTTTATACACTGAACTTTTGCAAGTGTTTTACACCATTCAAAACCTAGTGGTGAATGATATCAATCAAAAGTCTGAAGGATAATACGGATTTCGTAAGTTTTGTCAGTGATGAGTTTGTCTTTAGGTAGGGTAGAAGGTATACAGTTATGAAAAATCCCAGATTAACAAAAACAGCTCTCAAATATTTCGTTAATTCATAAGTTATGAAATTTCACCTGAATTTGACGTGGATGTATGAGATATAGGGAGACAGAGTTCCAAGTGAACTTATAAATAACAGTGCAATAAAATTCTGCAAACTGTACTTGGATAAAATAAAAATGAAAAAGGTTTCTTTCAAATGTGTTAAGATTGACCTAAGCCAGTTGTTCGATGGCGCTGTCAGGAATATTTTACCGTAAAGACAAGTATGATATGTATTTATATCATAACCTGTTCGTATAAATCTAAACTCACCAAATATCCACTGGGAAATAATTTCCATAGAATCGTGATGCACCTCCCAGCCGAAGCTAACTACGAGAACATAAAGTCATTAATTAATATTTTTTACAGCATTTAATTGATAATGATTTTTCTGCTTCATCTCTGAACATTATTTTGCAAAATCAGACTGAATCTGTCAAGCTTACATTTACTTTACTTCAAAGACTTCATGGCAATGCATAGTCGGATGTCGGAAATTTGTATACAAAACCAGTTGGTACTGTTTCTTTCATTTTATCATCTGTTTTGCCACACAGACTCACACATTTTAATATTTCATCTTGAAATGTGCTTACTCTTACACAGATTAAACTTTCAGCTGTTCAGATCCTTTCCAATCAATCGTGTGATTATTTGGTGGTATTCATTTACTGATGAAAGCTATGTTATCCTTTATTTTGACCTATTTAGAAAATCAAAATAGGGTTTGCTTTTGCTAAATTCACATCTAATCAGACAATGCGATTTAGCTTATCAGGACTAGTAAACTCCAAATTAATGCACTGTGAAAACATATCTACTTAAGCCATCTATATTAGTTGTGTGATGAATTGCATTCGGTATCGACGTAACTGCTTCACTTTCATTCCTAACCACTGCTTATCTTTCGATTATCATAAATTATGTTTTGCGGAATTTCTATTAAACCTTTAAATAGTATATATAGTCTAGTATTCATTCAGTGCAAAATTTGATTTTTGGGCATAAGTAAAAAAATTATGTGATGATGAATTAAAGAAATGTGCGTGGTGAAAACTTATATTCATTCAGCTTTTATAAACATTTTTCCATTGCTTTGCGTTGAAAGTGGAACATAAGACTTCTAAGTTTTTCTTAAATTCCATTAATTGTAATGTTGTCTTTACGGAATGGGTTGCTTGCCACACGCCAAGCTTTCCCTCTTTTCCGAACTTACTAGCAAACTAGAAGAGGTTTAAGAGTGAATCTCCCAGGGAACACGACCTGGATATCCCGTCTGGCTGGCAAGAATTCTGCTGCTGAATCACTGACGCATACTTGTATGAGCTAATATGTATTTTAAAAAATAACAGATAATTGTACCACACCTGCGCAGTGATGATAGTATACTTGGCTGTCACTTCAAACATGCATACAACAGCCAGTCATCATTTTATGAGACCTATTTCACCTATCGCTTAAAGTAAGTCAAACATTATCGGCAGTTTTTTTTCCTGTTTTTCGAATAGTCTACTAGCAATTATACTCACTCAACCACCTACCCATATAAATACCATAAAGTATGTATGTCAAGTCAAAAATGCATTTCTAAATTCCTTATGTTCCTTACAGTAACAGAACACACAGGCAAACAAATACACATACATATGTGATTTAATCTAACTATTACTATCTCCTCTGCTCTTTTTTAATTTTTTACCTGATTATTTTGTTGCCTTTTCTACTTCTGTTTCTGGTTTCTTTTTTCTCTTGATTTCTTCATGATCGATTGAAAAAAGTAAATTAAGGATAAATCCTTATGGTTAATTTTATTTTACATAGTCCCTCTTTGTTTCCTCTCATCATGTTGCTTGATGTATCTTTCAATTTGGCGTTTTTTATTTTTGTTTTCTCAACAATGATTTTAAAGTGAGTAAATTAGATTTCTCTTACACACATACGTATGCACATACACAAACACGCACAAAAATTCATGCAGACAAAAAAAACAATGTGAAGAAACATCTTTCCCTAGAAGAGAATAATATACGCCACAGTTCTTGATGAACTTCACATCTATACCTCCTTCAGTTTCTGTCGCTTTGTTTCTCTCCATCTCTTTTATCTCTCTCTCCCTCTCTCTGTATCTGTCTACCACTCTCATTGCTTCACTATTCGCTAACATCAGTTGTAAACAGATAATCACATATAAGTCAGGAAATCGACATGAGGTATTAAAGAGGTTACAATACTTTGAAATATCATTACAACATATACCTCTGTAGCATTGATAGTCTGACTCATCCTATAACTGAGAGCAGCTCTTTCTGTGTGTGTGTACGTGATTGTAGGAGTGTACGCACAACTGTGATTACCTTCTGTTTATTTATATACATAAACAATTTTAGCCTTCAATATAGGGATTAATAAAACCCATCCTTTTGATTGAATTTTTCAAGAATATTTTCCTGAAGTTGTAAAGAATATTATTATCAGAGTCAGTATGATTAGTGTTAGAGTATTTTGTTGTTTTCATCGTTGTGATTGTTATTGCTGTTCACCTTGTCTTAAAAATCAGCAAGACTTTGTGTCATGATGCCTAAAGCTGTATTTTCATCTCCAGTATTGTTTTTATTTGGCCTTTCTAGTCGGAAACTAATTTGTGTCAAATGAAATGAAAAAAGAGATGACTTATTTTTGGTCTTCTGAAATTTGTTTTGTTTTAATTGATGTATGTCTATATGTGTGCTGATGTCGTTTTGTGTCCGAAAAAAAGATAGTCTTCATTCTTTCGATCTAGTCCTACACTTAATATAACCAATGTGCTCGATTGTTTAAGTGTTTAATGAAGACTGATGACAAGACCGTAGCCCTAATAATTCCGTTAAGTTGAAAGACTCTGACTACATAAGTCTGCATGCTCATTTAGATCATACAGCAGGCGATTTTCATCTCATCAGTGAACAGTTTTTGAGGCTTAGTTACCGAATTTTGTTAAAATGTACTGGTAAGAATGACACTGTGGCCTTCATAGATTCATGGTATGGTATGTTTCTCGCATGCAGTTATTATTAAGTTTCACTTAATTTAATTATGGATGAAATATTCCCAGGGCCTAAGACATGCAAGTGTACAAAAAATATATTTGAACATTATCTGAGAAAACTGTCCTGAAAACTACTTGTTAGAGCTTTAAAGGTGAGAATAAACACTGACGACAACTCAAACATTCTATTGAACTGTAAACAGATTAGCATTAATAATTTAGACTACCATTCTCTTCTAGTACCCATGATCGGTTTTCAGATAATTGTATCAAAGAATATACTGAAATGCTTATTGTGGTAACATTGTTGATGTTATCTGTGGTATGAAACATTTCATGTATTGTGACTGACATTTTTCATCAATATTTTCAGTCCTTATTAGCCAAAATTATTTTTTCTGTTTCTCTTATTTCGAAAATAAGTCTGTAAGTAATAAGTGTTCTATCTTAAGGCTTGTCAGTGCTAACTGCTGACTCATTTATGAGATTTCCCTGTAGATTAGAGAGCATGAAAACATTTATTAGTCCCAATTCAGATTTATTCACATATTGACGTGAGTCAAAGCATCATTGGTATTTGGGACCCATTAGCAGTGCGCAAACATTAAAGCATCCGGAATAGAATCCCCACTTTATCATCACTAAGCCAGCCCACTGACCACTCTGTCAGGTGATACGCACTGTCGAACTGTCCTTAACTTGAACTAAACAGACGTCTATCGCCCTTTGGTTTTCAACGATCCTTCGATTTATACCGACTCGTGATGAAATTTACATTAAAATTGATGGAAGTCCTCATAAAACCCAAAATCTGAGTTTAATTATCTGTTATATAAATGCACTCATCCTCATATTTTACTAAATTTATCATGATACTTTTGATTAAGCGCAATAACACAGTAAACGACTTTTGTTTTGATTGTATGTATGCAAGAGAGGTTTCTTTTCTGAACTTACGAATAAGTGATTCAGATTGTTGATGGGACCGTTCGCGGAATCCGTAGTTTAGTACAATAGCACCAATATATTAGTGAAATCAATTGAGTTACGAAGGACACGTTTCTGATTCATGGCGACGGAACTGAAAACAGTGGTCAAAACATCCTTTATCTTTTGGTTTACTGAGTATTCATCAAGATTTCCTTGATGGGTAGTTTGCAGTTTTTATTTTGATTGCTGAGATTTCGTCTAGTAGTCTCATGAATCAACCATACGTAATTCAGAGAATGCAGGGAGAAAGCAATACAGGTTTCGAACTGTTTACACCGTAGCCGAATGGTTGATAACACAAGGGTCTTGAATGTGCTTGCTCACTTCGCTTCTTTATGCAAAACAATGCAATTATTCCATTCTGTGAAGGATATTTGTGGACTTGAGATTTTTACGAGAAACGAAATCCAGATCTTCAACATTTAGGGCAGGTCAGTGCTCCCTCATGGTTCAGAGACTTTCTGCACACCTCAAGAGAAGCTTTCCAAATAGGCTCCGAACTTTTATCAACAACTGCTTTTTCTAGCCCCATAATGTTGTTCAGAGGGCTTGTTTGGATTATTAGACAACGAACCAACTAGTTAACTAATGCTCAACAAATATGCAGTAGAAAATGAAGATTGACTAGATATATACAATGGTGACACTACACGCCTGGTGGAACCCAAGTGGGATACAACACATTAGGCGTCCGAGTATGACATGGAGGAGATCGTCTAAGGAGACAATGGAGGCTTATGAGAGATAGTGAAACTGTTTGAAGAAGACTGCAGGGAACAGAGTAAAGTGATTGTAAGCTTCTGAAGGTCTACGTTTCACCAGAAACCCAAGGGAATGGCAATAATACGAATCCTCTAAACAGAATTTCTGTACTTTGTCGAACTAATTTAGAATTTCCCAACGACCGGGTCAAAATAACCAATCGGATTCCATTGTGGACTCTTCGACCATGCCTTGTCATCAACAGTATGTCACTTCCATAGTGGTGGCCAGTGGTGTGTTTCCGAATGCTCGTTTCCAGATATTTGTAACGATATTTCTGCATCTCTAGTCTGTTATGATTTTGCCATTAAACCAACACACCAACGGAAATCAAGCATTTCCGTTCAGTATAATCAAATAGTGGGCTATTCAAAATAATTCTGACAAGCAGCAACTGATACCCGTCTCACACGAAATGGCTTCTGTGAATAACGCTTGGGCTGTTGGTTCCATACTCAGTGGTAACTTCCCCACTAACGGTGCGTCGCCTATCCTTTGAGACTGTTCATTTGATCAACATTATCGAGCCAGAAAAAAGTATCCCATTTTAAAAGTCCAGACACGTCAAATGGACGAATTTCGAACACGGGGGAATTCGCGTCTTGGATTCCATTGCTAACTAATACCAACTGAGTAACGGAATATTTGTAGCTTAGAAAATTTTCAGTGGTATTTAAGATATGCTTGGAGATTTCACAGTAGGAGGTAGTATGCAGATGTAAAGCTCATCTGGTCACAAATAACCGCAAGTCATAAGGTAACAGCCTTATTTTATAAAAATCTCGACTAATTACTGCGTAAGATGTAAAGACTCATGTAAGCGTAGTATAATTAACATTCAGGTCGCAATATTGTACCACTCTGAATTCCCTTATTTACTTCAACTTTTTTTTGTTACCTTTCCTTTAGTTACTGATGTTAAAAAAAATTAATTTCCTCATAAACATTTTTACAGTTTGTTGCTCATCCTAATTGTCAACAATATTTGACAAGTATATGGTACGGGTCGGAGACAGCCTTCCTGCAATCATGGTCATTAATTCGGAAAATTGGTCTTTCTGTAGCTGCCACACCTCTACTTCCCCTATTTTGTATAATGTATATAATACTACCTACCTCGAATGTGAGTCACTTTTTAATTCATTTATATCTTTTTTATCTGTGTTTGTAATGTCTATTATTTGAGTTTTGCCTCGAATTTCGCAAGAAAAAAAATTCACTTGTCTTGTGATTCTGATCTACATCGACTATGATGAGTAGGATAGATCAACAATTAATTCCTACTCACGATATAACATTAAATAAATTGAAATATTTAAGATTAGAGCTGAAGTCATATCTAAAACGGCGGACATAATATATAAACAGTGGGAAAGAAACAGGATTCGTACTGAAACATTTCTGTGGCTGTAGACTATTTGTTCAGCCATTAGATTTCTCGTCTCTGATCTTCACCTTTCAGCCTGCACAAAATTACTCACTCATATATGACTAATATAGATGCTAATCCTATTGCTGTAATCTCTATGAAGTTTCGAGGTTTCTGATATCTCTTCTCTCGTCATATCTCTGAATAAGTACCTTCAAATATCAACGCATTTTTCTACCAAAAGAAGTAACTGTATTCCGTGAGACAAATGCTGACATAAAGACACACCAGATAATACACGATATTATGGCTTGCTGATACCAAGGAAGAATACATTTAACCTTCACTGCTTTAGGACAGTACAGTTATTTGAGGTCACTGTATACAACGGCTGTTAGCTCATAATCATATGACCTGCTCAGTCAGATCTTCACACCCCAGTTCGAAATCTGTTTGAAGTCAACAGAAGGTTAGATGTAAAACTAAGATGATAAAAGTTATAAGTGGGCTGCAGTTTATGTCCACAGGTGTCACTCAAACTAATATGTAACTGAACTTAGGGGAAAACATGCATTACAGTGATTCATGTGGAACATTCAGTGTCGAATGGTATTTTATATATATATATATATATATATATATACTACTGAAATGTTTGAAAAGTAATTACTATTCTGTCTAAATTTACTTATATGACTGTGTTGTTGAATTTATTCTAATAGATTGCACGTTCAATGAGATGTCCAGCAGCAAAATTTGCAACTCACGTTGTGTCACACTTTTTATTCCTTATACTACTTGCTGCAGCAACATTCCGTTTAGAAGAGAATTATGACGCCTTGTTAGATGAGCAGATGCTTGGCACGGGAGATGAAGACACAATACGTCAATGGGTACAGAAAAATTTTCGGCCGTCTAAAGCTATTATAACACATGTTCAAATATGTATTGTATTATGGGTGGCTGGTAAGTACATAAACAAATAAGGCGCAGTTTAATTCTCATCGTAGTTTTGCTTGAAATCTTTTGATTTATTGTTTGTTTAAATAAATAAATAAATACCAAATATCTTTACTAGAGAGTGAATTCGAGAATAATGTAATTATAAACTTATAACTGCTGAAGTAAAAATACCTTTTTTGGTTTTGTTTGGCGGTTTGATTGCGATGACTTCATTAACAACCAAGACAACATCATCAGCCGCAACTTAACTTTGAATTTACAATAACAAGTGCAAAAAGCACAGCAACATGCAAAATTGTCTGTCTAAGCCTCACATTTTCCCAATCACTTCACACTAAAAGCACTACAGTTTAGTACTGAAAATTTGTGGGTAACCTGTGTCAGATTCTTAACGCAAGACAATCTTCCACGACAGCCGTTTAATAAAGTACTAAAAACAAATAGCATCCTTGCTGTAATTAACACTACAGTAAGTAGAAAAGTTAACTTCATAACAAACTGACAGTTAGACTTTTATGCGAACATTAAAGTAGACCTACTTATACGGGTTTCTGTGTTGATAAGTTAGTTTAACAAGCTGATTGGAATACGTATTTGACGGGAGAATCAACCATTTCAAACTTTCGAATACGTAGGACAGACTACAGCATGATCGAATGTCTTCACTGTTCATTTAAATAAACTAACACTTCAAAACCTGGATAACAATTTGTTCACGTCTCCAATACCCCATAACCAAAGCATTTAGAGTAATTAATACATTGACCACACTATTTACTGCGATAGCACAGTAAATGATGTGGTATATGGAACTCTACAACTGCCTCATTCTTAATTCATTAGTGTAAACACCTTCCATCCTAACACTCTATTAGCTTATGTGCAATAAACAACACGTCATAGTTTAGGACACTTCTTCAGTACTTGGCCAGAGTTTTGAAAACTTCCAAGCAAAAGATATTTGAGTCAGAATATCCAGTGTACACACCACCTTTCAGTCATTTCACACCGTTGAAACCCTTTACATTGTTAAATGCCAGCATAAACTAAACATTATTTTCTGGCACTGTTAGCTTGGTTCACACCTTTGGTTTGAGTTTAAATCAACTTCGCTTGTAGCACGTTAATAAAAGTAAATAATTAATTGTCATCATGGCGAAGTCTAATAAATTGGCTAAGAAAGACTGAAAGATGAGAACTGTTTTTTCCTGAATTTCCTGTTTATTGGTCCAATGATGGACGTGCACAAATTGATACACTTATAGAATCACAGTTTCAGACCAGCTGACTAACAACCATTCATGTTTTACTCTGTGACTTTCTAAAACACCGCAGTGGATAATAAATAAAATTCTCAAAAGAATATAAAAGCTCTTGAAACCCTTGTTGAGAATATCTCACAGTTAAAATACTGAAATAATTACTATCAAAATAATAAATGATAATCGTTTTCTTTGAATATCTGATGTAAAAATGCTTGCTGATCCCCAACAGATAAAGGTTTCCCTTCATTTCGGAATAAATTTTGTCTTCAACAAAGTGAATTCAGAGACAACAAACTTCTATATTTTTGTAGAATTAAAAAACCTATTATTAACTCATCAGTAATAACGTCTTCGTTTAACAGTTTTGTAGCCTACAAGAAAAAAATAAACTGAAAATGCCGTGGCATTAAAACAAGCATTTGCTTCGTTTTTTTTTTAACAAAGCTAACTAGTAAATAAATCAATAACCTTTGGATAATGGTAACTGTAACACAGATGTGTTGCAACTGGTGAACAGATTAATATTAAAGGACAGCTAGGCGAGCTAGTTTATTATTTGTGATAATGATTGTGAACATGTGGAAACAGTTTTGTATATTTATAGAAGAATTATGCATCTAAACATTATGGAATTCCATGTTTTCATCAAGTCTTCATATATTAGTTAGTTTCACTTTTAGGATAACTTTAACTGCATACAAGTGTTGGGACTGTGTTTATCTGAATAAAACACAGTTATTCGTGTTTGGAATAGTTTTATAATTAATCCTTTTGAAATTGAATTGTACTCTACAATTCTTTGCACTGTCATAGATCTACACAGCTAAATGACTTGTGCAGCTGATTGGCCTAAGTAGTACATACAATTTATAATTTATCCTAATGCCGTTTATGGTATTAATCTAATCAAATACGGATACATAATTGTAGTCATTTTCTTAGGGAAACTGATATGAAATATTTTATGAATTGTATACTATGAAAAAGAGATAATTACCTTCTGTGTCATCATAATTCTTTTACTAGTGCATTCAGCTTTATGACTAGTTGGCTAGTGATCTCCAGGTTTTTATTTGTCTCTAACTCACTGAGGTACGTTGACAGATTTACTGGTTGGTTAGTAAGCAGAAGATTAGGTTGCAGTTTTACACTTGCTTACTGGTTGTTAATTCCATTCCAATAGGACCAGTGTGTAAATTAGGGATATACCAGGTAAACCTATTACTGCTGCGACTAGCAGAAATATTAACATACATTAGCATAGATTACTCTACTCAACTTGAAACTGACCATATTAATGGCGGAATGCTTAATTATGTATGATATATCTCCATTGGTATGTATCTATAAATGTGTGCATTTTCAGAAGATTATGCTTGAAGGGATAAATGGAGACAAAGGCCATTGATATGAGTGTTAGGACTCAAAACGATTCCCTCTGTTTTGCCTAGACACAGTAAAAAGCCTAAAAGCATTCAAATGTCAGTCAAACGGTTACTCATAAGAATTTTAGTTGACCCGATTTGTAAATAAATACATATTTTAAAATTTTATACATTTGCTGAAATCTGGTCAAGAAATAGCATGTGAGTGGCTAGACTTAAAATACACTGTCCATTTGATCAAGTTTTAAAATTCATCTCCAAATCAGTGTCAGAACACTGAATCTATTGAAAAAGATGTCACTCACAAATAGACACGGTAATCCCTTACTACACAGAAAAAAGGGCCAACAGCAAAAAGAGACGTAACAAACGTTACCTATAAAAAAGATTTCAGTAGCTGACAAAAACACTATGTTGAACAAAGATTGCATTCTCATCATCTACCCATTCATAGTAGCAAGTGAGTAATCAAAAGACGTTATTTACACTCGTTCGTATCAGTTCACGTAGACATCTGCAGACCCCAATTCAAATGGGATATTATGAGAATCTCATCGTTGGTGGTTAGGCGGTAGAGCGCTGACCCACCACGCAAGTGGTTTGGAGTTCAAGTCCAGGCTTGCGCACAACTTTATCTCAGCCTATTACAATCTCAAAAAGAGAGGAGGTTACACGTGAGGCTAGCAACCAAATCCCTTAGAAACATCGCTGTTATTCTGACTTTAAAGCTAAACCTTGGAGCCCTATGTTCCACTGGAAATGCAAAGGAATAAAAGCAATTATAAGAATCCCAGACATAGGAAACACAAATAATGGTGGAGAATTCTCATAAGCTTGATATACAGATGAAATCACTGTCAATAGGCATGTTGACACAGATGAAGTTTATCATTCTATAAAGAATAAGTTAAACGACTGAAAGGTCAAATATTGCCTCAACAAGAGAGTCGATATCAATATAATTGAATATAATCCCTACTAAATCTCCAGAACCAACTAACCACAGTCAGTATTACCAGTAAAGACTGACATTTCATCCATTAAGAATTCCTAAATCTCACTGCTGATGTTGTCCAGAAAGACAATGTACACTTCGAAAATAAACCGCCCATTTCAGAGAACACTACTACACCAAAAAAACACCCTTTTGAGTTACAGATCGTCTTCATTATGAACTCATGGTAAAACAGAAATTTATTTAACTATCTTTATGAGTGTTATAATTATCCAGTAAAACGATGTAATAGAATGAAGTTTTTACAAAATGATTGTTGACTTAAGCGGTAATAATAACTCTACTGGTAACTGACAAAAAAGTTGGTTTTCTCTAACAGTATTATCAGCATTTTTCAAAAGTAGGGATAGGAAAACAATAATAACTCAATTCAGTGAAGTACATCCTGCTATGTAATTCACGTGCAAGGAGGAATCCCAAAGTAGAATTGCCTTCCTAGATGTCCTCCTTAGAGGAAAGCCAGATGGTAGTGTAAAGAGAAATTTGCATAGGAAAAGAGCATGGATAGGACATTATACTTATTTGCATAGCTTCGTTCCTATCCAGTACAAAAGAAATTTAGTAAGGATCTGAAGTCACAGGGTTATAGCTATATGCTCAGAAGAGGTAACTGAAGATGAACCAAGGATTATATATGATAAATTAATAGAAAAGGCCTATCCAGACAAATTCATCAGGAAACATATAACTAAGAAAGTTGAAAAGAACTACTCACTATCCGTAAACAAGAAGCCTTTATACATACCACTGCAATTCAGAGGTAACAAACTTAGCGAAGTAATTACGAAAAAGTTAAGAAATTCAGCTCAAAGAACTTTTACTGCTGCCAAAATACAAGTGCTATTGTCTACACAGCCGATAGTGATTCCACAATTGAAAGATGAACTACCTAGACTAACCACTTCTAACTGTATCTAACAATTCAACTGCACTTGTGGAGTGAACTATGTTGACTGCTGCTCTAGGAACTTGATTTGTCTTATTCGAAAACATCTCCCAGTATGGCTAGTTAAAAGTGTAGTGAAAACCATCAACAGTTCGATATTAGACCACCTGGTCCGACCGGCCAGAAGGCCAGCATTCAAGAATCCTTCTCTATCATCTTCCAGGTACCGAATGAATTGCCAAAAGCATCCAGATACCTCGCATTCCAAACAGCAGAGGCTGTTGGGAATCGCCTGAAACAACTGACGCTCTATGTCCGGAATAAGTCCAACCAATTCTGCTACCCTGGCCTTCAGGGGAGACTACGAATTTATGGATTTGCATTATTATTTTTCCTAATTTTTCTGACATTCAGTGTATTGTTATGTTGATGATATCGACATCGACGTTATTTAAACAACATTTATTCACTATTATGTATATGTAACTGTAGAACCTGATGATAAAGTTATCAAAAAGAGTATTTTTAGTTCAGTAACCATTCTTTCGAAAGATTTTTATGGTCACTTTTGATCAGTTATCAGCATTTGTGAAAAATATCAGCAGTGATAAAATTCGTCACCTTTTCGAAAAAAATCTTTCAATGTAACTCAATTCCACTTAGGTGTATCTGAATTCATAAATAAAGAATCTTGGTGTTATATCCGAACAACAGAGCAAATAAATCCAGTTTTGTCAAACACTTTATACATTGGATAACATAAAATTAGAAATACAAACTGTCAAACTGTATTTAGCCACACTATCAAATTATAAAATTTTGAGTAGAGCAAAGAAAATCAGACAGTTTTAGCCACTGTACTTGTTATGTCTTGTACTGTACAATATTTTATTTGGAGAAGAATTGTATTAGTGCTATTGACTAACGCTCAAAGCCCTCGAGTGGAACCCGAAAGGGAAGTGGCGTGTGGGACGTCCAAGGGTGACATGGAGGAGATCGTGTGAAGAGGAGTTGAAAGAATATGGATTAACATGGATGCAGGTGAAAAGTATAGCAGAAGACAGAAGAAAATGGAGACGTGCAGTTGAAGCCCTATGTTCCACTAGGAACCCAAGGGAGCAATAATAATGATAATAAATTCAGGACTACATTGTTCACATATACGCCTAAGAGCAGATGAAGATTACATTGGTGGTGAGTATTCCAGCCTGATATACTCCCTACCACAAATCAGTTCACTTACTTTTGTCTAAATTATATATATATATATATATATATATATATATATATATTCATTTATCACTCTTCGTTATCCTAACAGATGTCTGTTTATACGCATCATTAATTCTTGTTATTGTTTTTTTTTGTTTTTGTCCAGGTCTCCTACTTGCTGATATTAAACATATTTACTTTGCAGGATTCAGGTCTTATATATGTAATGCCTATAATTTATTGAATTTCTGTATATTATCCATGTATATTGGCTCCTATACTCTACGCATAATTGTTGATCGTTGGGTTCGTGAATCAGATTTATTCTTCAATGCAACAGCTCAAGTGAATTATTTATTACATAATAATAATAGTAAATTGGTGCATCAAATGGTTCAGAACTGGACACAATCGTGTCATCATGATAAAAGTTACTTTATTACAGCGTGTAAGTTGAATTGGCTTCTGTTCCTGATATGTATCCATATATATATATATATATATATATATATATATATATATATATATATATATATATATATATATATATATATATATATATATATATGGGGATCTCTCTTTCTGTTTGCTTGCTTAGTCTGTGACCATTTCACTTTGATGAACCTGTCTCCTTTAACAATGTATATCCCCCTTATATTATATATAATATGAGTTTTTGTTGACAGTCCGTTGCTTGGTGACATATATCCATATATGGTGGTTGTTGACATGTCTGCTATATTTCGCTATGTATGTATGGATCGATACTTCATTATAATTAGCCATTCATGTTAAGACTGTCCATTGATTTGTTCACACACTTGTCTGGACATTCATATATATTTCGCTCTCACAATCTTGTGTGACACTTTGGTGCGATACCACTTATTGCTTCTCCTTGTGTTTGGAAAATAGAAGTATCATCGCAAACCTAGTGGTCTTCTGATTTCCGCCTTCTTGCGTCAGGACTATTAAATTCTCGACCAGTACATAGCAATAATTTGGCGATGAGTACATAACAATTTGGCGACGGGGAAAACTACTATTAACCACTCAGCAGCAGCAACATAACAGTTCCCTATTCGCGTGTCAAACGAGAGATCAAAGTTACTCATGACATATATCAGATCATAACATTTCCTATCTAAAACCAAAAAAATAACTCTAGGAGATGTGAACTTCGTGGATGGTTCATGTCTAATGTTACATAGACTCGAAGGTCTGCACCAAATCGGCAGAAGAAGCTGCGAAGACAGGACTGCATCTGATTATTGTTATTTAAGTGAACAGTGAAGACAGAGGTGATGAAGATATCTAACCAACAACAACAATAAGCGCCAATCACTGCCAACCGAACGAATTTGAAGGAAGTTAATTCTGTCACTCACTTAGGCATCCTTACAACTATGCGTGGCATGGATGAGAATGTCAACTCCAGGATTGGGAAAACAAGACAGATTTGCAATTAATAGTGTTCTCTGAGCTGGTTGGTTTAGTTGCGGAGCTTTCGTCGTCTTTCTGGACGACATCTTCAGAGTAGAGAACACTTAATTGCAAATCAACCACCTGAGTTACAAATTTTCTCTATTATTTCAAAACAAGACAGACCATTACTCTGAAACCAGTGTGGAAAATCTGATGAACTCAGCATATGGAACAAGATTCAGATTTTGAACACCAGTGTCAAGTTACTACTTCTGTATGTCTCATAGATGACGTGTCACTAAAAGCATTTCCTAAAGGCAACTGCAGACTTACCAGCAACTGGAAATCTGGTGGCCAATCGGAAAAGAATAGCAGCTTGGAACTCCAGCAGCAAACTAACCAAGAACCCATTGCCTAACAAATGTGCCGAATGAAATGAAGATGGACTGAGTATACATTAAGAAGACCGTTGAGTAGCATCATGCACCAGGCCCTCCAGTGGATTTCAAATGAGAAATTACCATATGCTCATCCTAAAATGACATGAAGGAGATCGTTCATGGAGAAAGCGAAGACTTACTGGCAATTATGAAGCCAGCTAAAGAGGACCGCAGAGAAAAACGTTAGATGGCTATATGCTGCTGAAGCCTTGTGTTCCACTGGGAAAAAAGGGAATAATACTAATGTCCCATCCAGCTTTGATAAAAGGACATTCGAAATTTGTTACAGGAAGTAGGATAAATCATTGATATAAGTATAAAACTTGAGCACTGTGGTAGAGTATAACAACCATCTGAAGAGTATAACTCCATTATAGATAAGATTTTATTTTGATAAAGTTACACAGTGTTATACAGTCATATTAACGTTTCGAGTACAAACCATTGATATGACTATGAGCAATAGTTTGTGCTCGAAACGTCATCACTTAATATTACTGTATAACAATGCGCGATTTATTAGAATAAGTCATAAATTATTAAATGAAATAAAGGATAAAAATGAAGACCGTTTAGAAAAGGTGCTGGTGTTCACGCACATGCACATGCAGAATGTTGCACTGATATAGATTTGAGTATTCCCATTAGGATAATTGTATAACATGATTTCAGCAAGCAAATACGTGTTTTCAGTAAACTCTCATCAGGCTTTACAATTACATAATAAAATATTACTCAAAGACAATGGATCGACAGAACTGAATATAACCAAGGAGAATATGAGTAGAATAATCATCAGAAATTGTGAATCTAAGACTAAACTGTGCAAATATAATACAATGTGATACAGTACATATTTGCTTGCAAAAATCCTGATATGGATTTAAATAGGATTGTATCTAATTTACAGACTAATTATATGTACAATCACAGAAGTTAGGTATTGTATTAGTGAATTTTTAGACAAGTACTTTAGCTTTTAGTATTTATCGGGAGAGGAATGATGAAATTATAGGTTTTTGATTACATGTCGAAAGTTCGTTCCCTAATAAATTCCTAGGTTATTACAGCTGAGGACTCCAAGTCTGAGATGAAGTAGCCTTCTGGCACTCCTTCTTTGGAAGTTAACTAAGTGATACCAATTTTCGGAGAAATTCACATTGAGATAGTGTTCGGAAAACAAATTCACTGAACTAAATATTTTTTTAACCTTGAAGCACGTATCTCAACATGCAAATGACACACAAAACGAAATTATCATAAAAAGTATCTTTTATAATCTGTTATATGTTGTCAGGTAATATTGAAAAGACGCCTTTGCTTTGTCATATTCTATGTGATTGATTATATTCATCATCAAGGTTCATATGTATTCTCGAATAAACTGATGTCTCTTCCGTGCATCGGTAGCACAGTGGTTAGGACTCTCGCCGACCATGCACATGGTCCGGGGTTCGATCCCCTACCGACGCACACCTAATATCTATGGTCGGCCTGCAAAATTTGGGCTACCGATATCCATGCTGAAAATTCCATACTTGTACCAAAAATACAGTGTGGAATCAAGCTGTAATCAAAAATAAAAAAAATAAAAAATAAACCTGTTTAGCTCAACTGAAAAGTTAGCAGCTTTTCAGCTAGGCCGACTGACTTATCGTGATATAAAATTAAAATGCAGTGCAGTCGGCTTTAGTGTCTAGTCATACATATATGGTCAGATAGTTGCACTAATTGGTATTTACTAAAAGTAAATATCTCCCGGGATACATTTTCCATTAAACAAATATAAACCTGATGCCGATTGACTATGTAGAATGCGACGGATTCGGCTGCCCATGGTTTCCAACCTTCAGTAATTCACAATGACCGTTACGCTACGCATTAAAGTGATTCAGCTTCAAAAACTTCAACTACTGAATTTGCATTCAATGAATGAATACCTGCGTACTCACCGTTAGACTAGTTAATCCTGGATACTACCCGATACCTAGTCGCTTTACAGTAATAAAGCAGAACAAAACATCTTTTTAATGACTGGTTTTTATATTTCGCTTGTAAATACCGTTTCATAACAAATAACCCCAATAAAATTAATCAGTCTGTCAATGAAATGCATATCTAATCTCAAAGTAACCAAAAGATGCTAACATATTATACTTTAGAAGTGAGAAAGCAAGTTTACTCAGATACTAGCAGACTTATGCAGAAGTACTCACAGCGTCTAACAATTTTTTCTTTCCTTTACAGCACGATTTCGATGGAAATATGACGATCCAGAAATTGTATCAGATGTTATGTTTGCTGTAGCCAATGTAGTCAGTTTTGCTCGTACCACATATCTAATGCCAGCATTCGAAGCCTTGGGACCTCTACAAATATCATTTACACGAATGCTAACAGATATTACACGATTCATGGTGCTTTACTTATTGGTATGTCTACGATGTGATCATTGACTTGTTTTAAACCACTTTTTCTATACAGTCTGCAATATTTATACAACTTCTAAGCAGGATGATTTAGAGTAGCTTCATAATAATACCACTTTATCTTACTTCTCTGCCTTTTAATTCACTCATTTTACGTCCAGTGTGAGTAGTGCATTCTTGAGTGTCACTTACTTGCCTGATTACAAGCTAAAAGCTGTAATCCACATATTTTTTTAAAAATTCAAGTACACTGAAAGCAAAATAGCATTCAGAGCTCGACTGCGGCCGATGCACTTCTAGACCTCGACTAGTTTAGTATCCGGTAAGACTGCAAAGGAAGGAAGGTTGGGCGTGAGTCTAGAAATCGCATCCCGTGACTACACAACTACTGGAACTTCAGAAGCGTAAAGCCTGTTTTGTACTTGGAACGCAAAAGAATGAAAAATAATGATATAATTAAAAATTATAATTAGATTTTGATTTGACACTAGTAACTATATTTATTATAGTCTTAATTGATTTCACCTTTGAGATTTTGTGCTCTGTTAACTCTTTCACTAAATATGTGTGCTAAATATATGTCTGATCAGAATCTTGGAAGTGTGTTGTGTCACTGCACTGCGCATATCAAATAAGTTCTTTCACTTTATTCCCTTCAAGACATTTGTAGTCGTAAAAATTCTGTCCGTGAGGGAACTAGAACACTGCAGTAATAAAATTTTCAGGGCAGCAGCAATTTCTACATTGCCGTACTTGAATTTTTTCGGTAAAATGGACAATAAACTGTTCATTCTAAGTGAGGAATTCAATGTTGACGGTTTAATGGTTACCTCCGCTGAAAGTATCCTTCTTACTCAAAAGCCTTAGTCAGTGTTTTGGGACAAGAGTGAATTTACTGCTAAGTCATATATAGTCTGCTTGTTAAGTTGTGTCCTTTGTAAAGACAAGAAATCGTCCTAACAAAGAAAAGATAAAATCCATGTTCTGAGATCCACTGACAGACATGTTGGCTGCTGTTGAGCTCCAGATTGTGGCTGAATGAAAGGATTGGCCATACTAGTTAGTCACTTTATTATTCTGAATGACTAAATTAAGGTCATTAAGTACTTACTAACATGAATTTTAAAGCCGACAGCCCCAAGCAGCACAATGTCGTTTTGTTTTCCATTCAATGTTAACGCACAGTGGAACCGAGGATGCAAATGTCGCTCTATCCGAGACTCGTCATCTGGATATACTTGTCTCCTCAATGAGAGATAGTGTTCCCACTGGGATATGCTCATCGTCTCAAACACCAAAACGTTATCCACTAAACACTGAGCCATGAAAACTAAATAGCGCATCCCATATTCCTCTGTGAGTTGCCGTCAACCCAAAATAACTCTATCTTAATCAACAGACAAATTGAAGCGTTCGTACCAGGAGCCAACATGCCAACAGAGGTTGAGCATTTCAGTCCAACATAGTCAGCCAACAGGGTATGCAAATTCATCTGAAAATAAATGGCATGGATTGTAGATCTTAATCGTGTCGGTGACTCTGAACCAAAATTTTCAACCTAAAGTCCCAAACTTGACTAGTGGTATCAAATTTTACTAGGAAATGATTTGTAGGTCAGTTTGAAAATGCCTTATGTCTAGTTAACGTCGTTCTGATTAACTTTCTGTCAATTAATTAGTTGGATAACTCGATTTGTAAATATTTTCCGTCTTTTTCACCAGGTATTATTCGCATTTATGGTCGGTTTACATAACCTATATTGGTACTATGGTTTGCAAATATTCAAGACTTATGATGAAGCAACGAATACCACACAAACACAAGTAGCGACAGAAATGTTTGAAGGGTGAGATATTTTGTGTTTTACACATTTTCATGTGTAATTAAGACAACTTTCGTCTCTTTATTATGTGAAAATATGACATTCACAAAACAAGTATTACCAGATGATAGCATTTCATGGAGTCTGTACAACTACGCTACACCTAGTATAGTTTAAATTAAAATATTTCACATTACTCTTTAATTAATTAGTATAACATGCCACATTAAGATACGTTAATTGGTCACTAGGAAGTAGCCAGTACCACTTGGCTAGGCCTTCGTGCTAATGATGACCTAACTCTATCACTTTAGTTTGCAGTATGTTCACTTTGAATTATGGTTCAGGGGCTAGGGGCAACAAAAGGAAGACGTAATCATTTCAGCCCCTTTAACAACCCAAGACAAATTCTGAACTGCATTATTTTTAGTACATATAACTGTAGATGAATATAATTAATCCAAAGTTCTTCCACAAGTTTTAGTTATCTTGAATCAGAACTACGCGAAATAATCTGGAAACAGGCATAGGTGTTGATTTTGTGACTAGTAGTCCATCTGTGCCAGATAAATGTCATTTCAGATTATTTGTTCAAGTTAAGCAAAATGGGGTTTTTATCGGATACAATAAGCATATGAAATTTGAAGAAAGCAAGAACAGCACTTTTGCAGAATAATATGGTACCATCACTTATTTCGTTAGATGCTCATCAGCTCCCTATAACCTAAATAAATTTTTAGGTTTATGTACAGAAAAGTTTCTTTATTCTGCAAAAACTATTGTTCTTGCTTTATTCAAATTCATGAAGGGGAATAAACGCATGAAATCACGTGGAATATATCCTCTGTTCGTGTGACAAAAATTGATATGATTATGAACAATAAATTGTGTTCGAAACGTCATCCAGTATACAATACTGTTTCACTGTGTGATACATTTAATAATCAAACTAATATGGAATTACTTAATACCACAGTGCCCAAGTTTTACACATATATTAATATATCCTCTGTTGTGATACTGGAATATTCTGTTGGAATTACTTATCTATATATTTATCTCGACAACTGCAGATGAATATGAAAAAAACGCGAGATAGAATCAAATAGAAGTTCGTCCTTTTATTCTTTTATTTATTAGGAGGTAAAATGTTCACGAGATTAGCGATAGGGAGTAAATGCAATAATGAATGGTTATTAATACACGAATTTTTATGAAATAACGTTTTAAAAATACTGTCATGCATTTCCCGTAGTAGAATAATACTGTCTGATGTGGCACAGAGCGATGCAGTCTTTTGTCTTCTAATTACTCCCGGATTTAAGGAATAAGCGGTAATGACTGGGAAATAATTTACTCATGAATAACACTCACCATCATTCAGGATAGCAAATATCAACTGGATTCTATCGATTAAAATGTAGTTGTGAAATAGGATCTCTTGACATCCTAAAGTAGTTATTGCCACATTTATCACCAGCAGGAATTTTGAGCTTTAAATCAGTTGTGATCAGTCACGTGGTTTCGGTGAGTTGCCTTGAATTTTTTCTTATTTTCTTATACTAATATCCAGAAAAAGGTGTAAAATTTGAACTTGTAATTAGACCTTAATTAACCTAAATTAACACAGACAGCGTTATAGTTCATAAACGTTTACCATACTGTCATTAAAAGTTAACATGTCTAAGTTAAGAATAAGATGGGAGAGTAATGGTGCTCATTGGAAGTATGCAAAAACCCTTCTAATACCTATTTATTTCATTCACCAGTTTTGTATGCACACATTGGGCACACACTGTTTCTGTGCGTCGGTGGCACAGTGGTTAGGACTCTCGCCGACCATGCACATGGTCCGGGGTTCGATTCCCTGCCGACGCACACCTAATATCTATGGTCGGCCTGCAAAATTTGGGCTACCGATATCCATGCTGAAAATTCCATACTTGTACCAAAAATACAGTGTGGAATCAAGCTGTAATCAAAAATAAAATAAATAAATAAATGAAATGCATTTCATGAAACAAAGTCTCCTAATTTAGATTCCTGGTTAGTAATAATTGCCAGAATTTCATGATACTTCTTTCGTATCCAAACAAATTGAACGTACACCAAACACCATGGATATGTGCTTATTACTTTCCATTTTTGTCAAGATTTAGTTTAGTTGAACGCTGATTTTGCTAAGAATTGACAACATCTTGCCTGACTATGTAAACCAAAAGAGCACTAGCCTCTAGCTTTTCAGAGTTTTTTCCACCATTGCATGATACACCTATTGCCGAGAAATCCAATTATAAGGCAAATATTTAACCGTCAAACTAATGGAGATGTGCGTTCAGCGAAGTCCATGTCTACAAAGTTGAACGTAAAGGCAAATGCCAAGTAATTCATTTCGACGTTTGTGTTATGCCACAAACTGGCGAAGGTCGTAAATTATGCATCACCATATTCATTCAAAGAGGTACTTGTTTCATAAACTGACAGTCCTGAGCTAAATGTTTAAAGAGTGATGAATGAACGTTGAAAAGTTTTCGCATACTGGAAGAAAATGAATCCCATTCACTCCAGTTGGCAGAAGGTTTGATGGAGAGAGAAAAAATACAATTTACTACTGTTTACACATAAATTATGTTACCATCAAATCCATCAGTCATCCAAACACATTTATCTTCAGAGTGAGGATTGGCCATATTATAAACTTTAAGAAGCTTTTAATCAGCATTATACGTAATTTACATCAAACAATATCGTTTTATCCTACAACCACCAACATATGATGACTCGTGGTTTCTTTATTATAAAGTTTAACTTGGTAAGAAAAAATAAACCGCAGAAAGATGGACGGAATTTTGGAAGAATTCACAATTCATTTTTTTTTTCGTTATTTTCCACCTCCTCCTATACAGACTTCGTCATACACTGTACAGCTTGTTCTGGTCAATGTTCAGTCAAGTCAGTATTAGCAAACTGCCTATTCGTAAACCCGGTGAGCACTTTTATTTATAAAAATTATAAATTGCATTATTTATAAAGCTGTCACTCCAGTAATGGCTTAGTTTATGATGTAGACTGATGTTGGTTACCAACAGTGATGAATTAGAAATAAGGAAAAACTAGGTGACTCGCTAACGCGGAATTAGTGTTAAGTTGTTGGAAGCAGTCAACAGAAGGGAGCTTAATAGTATTCGTTAGTAAGGTTTATCTGCAACCTCGAAGGAGTTAATGATGTCTCAGAGATTTTAACCCACATCATCCAGTGCTGTAGGCAGAGACATTACTACAGAACTATTTAGGTTCATGGTTGGCTTCTTGTGGAACTGCAGTGAACGCATTAACTGGTCATCTGTTCCTTTACAGTTGCGGATACGGCTAATTGTTGAATGAGAGAAAGAGCCAAACCTAAGTCCAAGGTTTCCACTTGGTTGTTTTCAACCACTTATTCTTGTCGTCTTTCATCTTTTGTGTGTCGGTGACTCAGCCATAGGACCCTCGCTGACCATGAATTTGGTCAGAGACTCGATTCCCGGCTGGGGTACATCTTTGACTCCCCTAGCCGATTGTAAGCCCGATAAAGATAAGGGACGTTGGGCGTGAGACTACTAACCCACCCTGTAAAATAATAATACCACTGTTACTAAAACTTCAAGCTCAAGCCTGAAATCTTTTGTTACACTCAGAAAGTAAAGGAATAAAATTAAAAATTGATACCTTGCGTTTTGAACTTTTGAACTTTGATCATTCTGCTCGGAATCAGTGAAGTTCCTGCCAGCTCATCATCTAATAGAAAGTCAGCATATGGTCTGAGTACGCATGAAAACTTAGTTGCGTAATGCTGTATAGAGAAGGCTAGAAGGCTATTACTTCTATATCACAGATACCTGAAGTGAAATAGTTTAAACATAATGACAGTGACCTGTTCACAGGTGAAATTTCATTTCACTCGTACTGTTCATATATTTCATATCATTCTCATTCTAAGCAATACACTTATTTTAGGAAATTATTGTGACTTGAAAGACAAGCTTTATTCATGGTCCTGATGTATTCGCTATTTGTTCACCGAGTGAATTTAGCAGTACAAGACAAAAGCCAATAGAAATTAATAATTAATTATTTGAATTTATCTTACACGGTCTATAATCGATGAAACCAAATAAATGTGTACACACTGGACAACGAGTGATTTCGCCTCTGTATCAGTTGAACACTCCATCCTCTTTTTTTTAATACAAAAATGAGATTTAATTCTAAAACACCATTACCCTAAAACAAGGACTATTTCATTATTTGATATACAGATATATACATTTTTTCGGTAATTTATTTATTCAAAACTGTAAAACCTTTATACACTACATAAAGACTAAATATTTAAACAAAAAACTAAAAGACGAAAATGATGAAAACAATTAACCGCCATATTTTATATGAATATAAATTGACCAATCATGAATATATAAATATATTTCCGTATGCGTGCGTGTGTGTTCGCACCTGTTTGTGTGCTTACCATAGTGATGCGGGTGAAAGTACGCGAAAATATGTCTTCCATCTCGACAAAAATTAAGTCTGAAAAAATAGCTAAATTCCTAGAATATATATATATATTCTGATGAAACAGTTAGCTATGGGCAAGATTTCATATCGCACCTTGTACAAATTTTCGGTTCACATCTCTATTATGACAACTTATGCTACTGTCAACTGCATGGTATCAACTACTAGACGTGTGTAATATGAATGCGAATCGTAGTGATATACAATAAGATGAATAAATCAGTGTATTGGAAAATATGTGGCTAGGCTATAGCGGAGAGAAGATAACTGATATATACTACGAGTTATGAAACAATAACTGATGCTATGATACGGTGAGTTGTGTGAAGTTGTCTAGTAATGGATTCATTTCGCTGCCTCTGAATTTAACAAATTCCTTAGGAACGGAAGGAATTTCATGTTTCAGAAGATTTTGCTACTTCTGCTTGTCGATATGAAGGTGACTACTAAACTCTTAATGAAGTACCACAGCCTTTCAGATAATAGTTTTGAAGTATGCAAAGTGTGTTTCAATTTATAAACGAAGTTTGAGAAATATCAATTTTGTTACACACAAGAAACTTGAACCAATTGCAGATTTTAGAAACTTTAGGATTTTCTGAAAGATAGCTTATAAAATCTTTAATAACACTTCAAGCACAGCTTTTTTGGGCTGGAAACGCAAGTTCCTAATACTTAGGGAGTCTTTATAACTAACATTAAGTGTTTGACAAGGTCTCTTATCAGTGAGCCTTGATAAAAAACTGAAATCCTAATCACAACAAGGAAGTTGTGAAGCGCCACAGTACTGTTACCTTAGCGAAAGATTTCAATTTAGACACCGAGGAGTTATCGTTTGTTCATTAGTCCCTTATCACATATATTCTTAAAGTTTTCCAGAAATCGTTAATATCTAGTCTAACTCTGAATATAATGTCACCATGTGTATCAAACAGTAATATGTATCGGGTGTTGAGTAGAACTTACAGACTATCAAAACTTGTATACACCAAAACTATCTGAAGTCGTTTCTATCAAGCGTTCAGTGGTTTTCGGCATGTAAGAGTACATAAATAAACCTGTTTCAGGTCATTTGTATCCCTACAAATCCAATATTTGAAAGTCGAGACTAGTGCTTTTTCTTGAAACCGCGTAGTAAACTGTCGATTCGATAATTGATAGAAGTTAAATTTGATGTACCACAGAATTCCGTCACACTCCCTCAGTAGTATACGAACTTGCCTTGTAAACTGAAGGCTATGGATTCAGTCACTGAGAGGATCACAGGTGCGTACTGATAAAGAGTCCTAAACAAGGGGAAACAGCTTCCCACTACTCTCTAATTTTCAATGGTTCACCAACTAAAATCACTTCGTAATTAGTCTTAAAATAAGTATCGAACTAGTCATAGTCTTAAGGGTGGACAATAGCCAACCTGAGATCATTTTACTGCTACTGATTTGTTTAACCTTGGATAACGGCACCAGGGCGGTCAATCTCACTTACAAATATTTATAAAAGAAAAAGGCATTAAAGTTTACTTTGCAAATAAGAAGATATACAAGCATAATTCTCGATTTAAGTGTTATTTGTCTTCTTCCTCTGATAGAAACTGATGCATAAACACCACATCTGTGGCCTTCATAGTGTTTTGCTGATCACAACAAGCGTACTTCTGATTTGATTTAAAGCACCAACAGTCCGTTTAAATGCCTAACCGGAATTCAGACTACTTGAAATAGTTCACACTTAAGACAGACGAGCTGTGTTCCGAATCAATGAGACAGCTATCTGATTTTTAGGTCACCTCGACTTCTCTAGTGTATATTACTGATTTTTGTTAGCATCCAAGAACTATTAATTTCATTACGTGCTATACTACACATCGTACAGTTTTCAAAATCAACGTTTTTTCCGAAAAAATATCTTCCCACAATGTTAAACGAAAAAAGCATCAATAAAAAGATTTCGAAATGCATTTGCATATCTCTAAACTTTCTGAGACATGTAAAAATTTTATTTTACGTCTTTAATTTTCAATTTTACAAAACAAACTCAATAGATTCCTCCCAAATAACCGACTTCCGTATTTCTTAGAATTTCATTAGTTAACGTTATGATTAACTAGGAGAGTTTTTATCATTCAGCATTGGACTAGTGATAAAAGTTTGCATAAGACAAGACGAAAAAGTGACTGGAGGTTTATTATGTTTAAAGTTGTATCGTTCAACTTAATTTTTATTGTGTACCATAGCTCTGACGGATTTGCATATTTTGTATTTGCAAACAATAGATCAGGGTGAGCATAAATACACTGATGGCATGATTGATACAGACTCACCGACAGCAATCGTCGATAGTGTTGGTATGGTATTATTTGCTGTTTATCACGGGATTATAATAATTGTCTTGGTCAATATGCTGATCGCTATGATGAGTCATTCATTCGAAAGTATTCAGGTAATGAGTTTCATTCCCATCATATTTTCTGTTAGCTTGGTTTCTTTTTCTAATATTGATATTAAAAAGCGCTTGGTTAACAGTCTTATTTTTGTGCCTTTCATGGATATATAGATAAACCGATAGACAGATAATAGATAGATAGATTCTTCGAATTTTTCACTAAATTTATTTCAGCCTAGTAATGAAAACATAAATGTTTCGTCCTGTTTTATTACTGTCACCACAGCAATGAGTGTTGGATATCCTACTGAAAAAGGAGATTCATCACATACACATATTACAATTATCAAGGACTTCAAGTAGGGAATTCACTAATTTTAAGGTAACAGATAATATACATCTGACAGGTTTCTAATGAAAATGAAGTCTTGTGGTAGACTTTCCCGCTAGATAATGCTGAATGAGATTTTTATGAAAACTGCTGGAGTTGCTTTAGTGAAAATACTTTAACTGGTTCATTTCGATAATAAAGGCTTAGTGTAGCAAATTATACTTTAAGTTCGCTGCTACCCAGGATGGTTTCCGCTCAATTCCTTTGTTTGCCGAAAGGTTTTTAGTCAACCTAAAAACCTCTAGTTTATTCAGGGCAAATAAGAACCTATCACACATTTTTGTTGCACTGACAATGATGTCATTTCAGTAATATCGACTACGCTATATCGATAGTAGTTTTGCTGAGGCTAAAATTTTCTGCTGTCGAGGCTCTTGAAGAAGAATTCGTTTCTGGATGTTTATGGAGACTCCATTTTGGTGAATAGATCAGAAACTCCAGTTTTTCTTCAAAATATGCATAACCATCTTAATTCGAAGTAATAACGACAACATGAATAAAATAACCTAAATGGTTCTGGAAGATGAACTGTGCTCAGTATTCAGAAGTGATACTTCTTAGAATTATCTGTTTTGTTAATAACCTCATTGATGAATTTTATATTTTGCAAAGTAAGAGATTTTAAAGAAATACAGAATGACATTTACTATTGTTTTTGTCAGAGTGATGTTACTGAAATATGTTTGAATGCGGTGGATAAACACGAGAGCCTGTTATATTTACATTTAAAACATATGAATTCCAACAGCAGACTGATGACTGGTGTGTAACATTTGCTATCAGTAGGAAACTCCTTCTCAAAGACTATCTCACAAGCAAAGATTTATTTCCACTGTCATTTGGTTTTCAGTTCTGCAACCAGTTTTGTTCAGTATTCACCTTCGATGTTGCTTTTTTCTATTGTGTTACTATTTCAGGAGGACTGTGATGTGGAATGGAAATTCGCGCGTACCCAACTGTGGTTGAATTATATTGACAATGGTAGTACTCTCCCAGTCCCCTTTAATGTTATTCCAACTCCGCATAGTTTAGCGAATGCAGTTAAGTTTATACGTAACTTTTTCAAAGATGAAACAGGAGTTATCAGTGGAAATATACGAAGTACAGATTTCGTTAAGGTTAGTGTTTATGATTATGATACAGTTCATGCAAAATAATTCTTTATGTACAAGCTGATAGAATTGTCACGGCTTTGTATATAATTTTATATTAAGAAACAACGACGAAGTGCTTTAGGAACAATGTGAAACCTGAGAACTCCATTTACTAATTTTTGACATTTACTAGGAGGAAGTATCTACAAATTTAGATATCTTACGCCTATGTCAAGAATTTTAAATACATAATCATCTGTCTAAGTGAATATGCAACTCATCTTGTCGAAGACTACTTTTCAGTATTCTGTTACAAAACTGTGAGTTAAATTACACTCTCCGATGACCACAGGAGGTAGCATACATTTCGTAATCCATATTTTATAAAACTTGCAATTCAGTGAATTCTTTCAGAAATAATCAGGAAAAACGGACCTTTCATCAAACTAAGTAAACATACATGTGTTTACCGATGTAATTCATTACAAGTGGTCATAAGCTATATACTCATTGGGAAACAAGTTTCATCGAACGCCCGTTTATTCCTGGTTTCGAATTCTTCAGCTAGGGTCGAACGCAACTTGCAAGGTTTAGAACCTAAAACTGTTAGGTTACATGCAAGCACACTAAAATCAAGCCATTGGGTTAAATACAGAATTCTCAGTACTTGTGATATGTCTTTACAGCCAACTTGGTAAATTTCATCAGTCACGACTCTCATTAGACTTTCTTTTTTAGATGCGTAACTGCTGTGATTTCTTTGTAGTGTTTTCAGAAATATACAACTGACTTTATCATTTTAGAAAGTGAGATTACTCGGATGATTATGCTTTGATACAAATACATTTATGCCCATATTTATTTAAAACAATTAGTTCCATTTATAAATTTTGATAGCGTTATTAGAAGACGGAGATTATCTGAAAAATGTGATGCATTTGCGCTATACATTTCGAAATGTATAGCGCAAATGCATCACATTTTTCAGATAATCTCCGTCTTCTAATAACGCTACCATATTTATTTACAATGTCTGTGAAACACGATGGGGCCATTTAGTTAATTATTTTGGCATCTACACACTGGATAGACTAAGACAATTTTTGACATAAGGAATTCGTGATTTACTTCACCAGATGTGATTTGGCGACTGACTTTATCACAGTTTAAGCACAGTGTTCAAGACACATAAATATCCATTTTAAAACTGCTTGAATTCTTCCAATGTGACATAATAATTACAAAAAATGAATTCACTTTCCACCTGTGAAATACGGAGAAAAACAAGACGAGTAAGGTATTTCTACTGCCTATGGACATGGCTGAAGACTACAAACTAAATGATTTTCAGGAGAATTCCAATCTTGAAAGAATTGTTTTCGCCATGATAAACTATGCAGTTAACCGAAGCTTTATGGTATAGTGTGAAGAAAATGGAATAGAAACAAAAATATCAGTAAATGCATCTCTGAACAGAAGCACTTTGCTTATCTGCCAGACTTTTTGATGCTTTTTTGCGCAATCACTCTAGTGTCTTTTATTTAGACACAGCTAATTTTATAATGCCTAACAATTAACAAACCAGATTAACTTGATGAACAATTCTTCTGGTGCGAAATTCAAGTCTTCTACTGAGTGCTGATTCGAAAAGCTGTTACCTGAACTGTCAGCTGACTTTTGCTGAAGAACGACATCCGTCATGCTATTAGGCCTTTACAGTACATTGTAATAACTGTGTCTCAGTTCTCGTCCACATGCAATTTAATGCATGTGAATAAAATAACAACACCCCAGACACTGTCAGTCTCTTTCGCTTGCTGATTTCAGTGAATACTTTTGGATTATTTACACCTGTCTTAGATGTCTAATATCTTAGAAGCAAGAAGTATTACGGTTATCAAGTCATTATTATTACAAGACAATTGTGGAAGCCATAATAATGAGAAACACATCATCTTTCTGTAGATTCAGGGTTGTGGTAAGTATTTGGACTATTTTGAATGCAGACTGCATAACTAATCAACATCAGTTACAGAATCACTGAAAACCAGGGGACACTAGACAAATATTTCGTTCTAGTTTAAGACCTCTCATCAGTGCACACTCACAACCCAACCAGAGATCAGGAACGTGATTTTCAAGTTACGAGATCTAGCTGGTTAACCATTCAGCCATTTGAGCCGGAATCCAGTGATCCTTGAATTCTCACTTTGTCAATTCTTGATATAGGATTACCCTCAATGAATGCTTTGGATTAGTATCTACTTTACCTCGGTATTTTACTTGAAAAAATATTCTAACGAACAATAACTTTCGCGTTCCGTTTCGTTGATATTTTACGATAAGAAAACTTGGTATAACGGTCGAAATTTATAAATACTGGTGCTTACCCTTTAAAATATATATATATATATATATTCCGTTGGGGTTTAAGTGGGAGACAAAGCTTTAAGTTTGAGTTTTGAAGTTTCTGCAGCAGTAGTTTGTTTTTTTAAGGGATGCGATCGCCAACCTCATACCTGATCTCTCCTCTTTTATCGACTTACTACCATCCAGACGAAGTTAAGGTAGGCGTCAGTCAGGAATAGAATTGTGGACCACGTGCGTGGTTGGAAAGCATTCCACCACTCAATCATCGAAGCATATATATGTCTATACTATTGATGATAATGATAATAAAATTAGCGATAACTCTTGATGCTTAGTGTACAACAATGATTCTTCGTATAAATATTCATCTGTACACACAATACTAAAGACGTGAACACACATGAACTCTTGTACTGATTACAGCTCTCTTTTACTTTTCTCTCCATTCAATTTTCATTTTATTTTTGAGGTTAATAAAGTTTCCACTTTTCTACTTCTAAAGAAAATTTTTTTATCTTAACGTGAGTATAATGAATAATCGGTTTTCTTGTGTATGTGTGTGCATGTGTGTCTATTAATGTCCCCGAGTTGGTTAGCCTGTTTTTACTTCACACTTTAATTGGCACCGCCTCTCCACTTCACATCAGGTACATAAAAAATGAATATGAAAATATATCTTTTTACCCTCAGCTCTCTGATAATTCTAAAAGTGAAATAATCACCGAAATAGATTTGGACGTCAACAAAACACAAGTGAAAAGCGAATCAAACACCCTTGTGTGAATGAGTTTCTGAAAGCAGATAATAAAGCACTGGAGGAAAGACGATGCCATTCTACATTGGTGACTGTAACGACAAATACTGATGAACAGGATATGGTGTATATTGTTAGGGTGAGGCGTAAAAACCAGTAAAAGTTCCAGTATTCTTCATGAACACTAAAATAAATCAAAGTATGTATGTAGAAGGGAAACAGAGAGAAAGAGTGGCACTCAACTATAGGAAAGTTCTTTTTATTATTAGTCTAAGTAATTCTTTCTATTTTGGAACAAATGACCTGGAAAAAGTAACGGGATTAATTTTTTTCTCTCCTTGAGAATAACCAAGGCCACCAACTGTTAGGTAGTAAAATAAACTTTTAATTGTGATAATAGACGAGAAACACTGGGACAGGAAGCTATAAAGACTGGAGTAAAGTTTAGTAAAACTTATCTCACTTAATCATCATTGCTTTATACCAGGTGAAGAGGTCTGCTGATGTAAGTGGAACAAAACAAAAAACTATCAATGTTCAAGCATTTAACTTGATTTGGTAGGTTGCTCTCTGATACTGAGTAAAATAAGTTGAATGTTGTCCTCTTTACTATCTGATGCGACTTATGTGATGACTAAAATCTACTTTTTCTCAGGTAGGTGATTCAACTTGCGTGACGAAAATTTAGGAAGGCAAGGAGTGAGCAGTAACTGGATGGACTCAGTCATGAAAGTTAGGCGAAAAGCCTTCAAATATTTTATAGCTGGTCCAACGCATATGACAAGCATCATGGATAAAAAAACTCTCTTGGAATAGATAAAAGAAACGGATCAGTCTTTATCATTTTCCCAAACTTTGTAATCGCCTAATCTGTGTGCCAAACTCCAGGCAAATTTGGGGTACTGGGGTCATTTAGTTTTTATTCAGAGCATAGCTTAATTTTTCACAGCGAATGAACTTGGGTGTTCAGATTTCTCACCTATATCATGCAAAAGATTTGTCGTTGCTGATACCAGGATACAAGTATGGTTTCTGTTATACTTAAAATCTAGGTACTACTGGTTACAGGAGTTTTAACTATCAAATGAATTTCTTTCCACCAACATTATTAACTCCGAAATTAAACTATATTAGTATGAAAGTGAAACAGCGGATAGTGAGAAGTACACCTCATTGAAATAAAACATTTATCCCAGCAAAGTTGACCATGGTGGGTTGTCTCCGCAATTTATCTTACCACTGTGTCCATTTTTGTATTGATTACTTCACTGATTAGACACTTAGCCTTTCGACTATGTGATCTATTCTTCAGTGTCTAACCTATATCAGTATGCTGCCTAGCTGGCAGGATTCTAAGGATTTTCTGACATGCTTAGTGTTTCCATGGTTTATGTTTTCTACACGTTCCCAGTTGAATTAGTTCCTGTGGTTGTCTACGGTTAAATATTAGCTAAATAGGCCAGTTGATAAAAATATGTACGCAAAAGCATGGTAGGAGAACCTTCACAGTCAAATTCATTGAGAAACAAGGTCATTTCATTCATGGAGAATTTCGTAATCTTAACATTGTAGTCCATAAAGACTTTGAGAAGTTAACCGTCAGACTGAGCAGCTGACAGAACTTAACAACACCGAGATTGTTCATCCCAGCTACAAATCTTCACCATCATATGCAGACTACAAGGAATTAACCGAACTCACTATCGTAAGAATCTTGCAGTCATCCATTTTAAAGACATAAATGAGAGACAAACTCTTCGAATGGCTGTTACAAAGTCACTTACAAGTTGATATAGAACAATAGACACTTGTACCTCAGCCTAGTCTGGCAGTTAACTGTTACTACAATGCCTAAATGCGTTAAAACGTCAGTTAGAGATGTCCTCCAAATTAAGGACTT